CTCCCTCCCTCCCTCCCTCCCTCCCTCCTTTCCTTTCTACCTCTCTTTCCCCCATCAAATAAATTCTACAGATGTTTTATTTTCAAGTGGATGAATTACTTTCTAGAGAGGAACATAAATTATTTGAAGCTATGGTTTAACTAAATCAGTTTGTTGATACACTGAAGGTTACAAAACTGCACCGAATAAAAGTTAGAACCTTTCTGTTCCTTGTCACCTTCATTCATTGTGGCTCCTGTACTTGACAGAGGCTGGTCTCTTTGCCAGTCTGTGCTCTTTGGTGCTCGTCTATCTCTTCAACCTTCTTGGATCATCTTTGTACCCAACCCAGTGCTAGTCAGACTACGGGGGAAGCCTGGTTTTTCTTACCTGAAAGTTAACAGACTAGCCTGTTTCTTGTCAGTGCCAGGACAGCAGCTCTGCCACCATGTCTACTGTGAGTGTTCTACAATGGGTTGTGGGTATGCACATCGTTGGCCCCTCAGAGCATGTTCATTCTCACATTGCATTCTGGGTTCTTCTGTATCTATTTGTAGCTCCTTGGGCATAGCTGCCTGTGTTCTTCCCCAGCTGCAGGCACATCTATCTCTCTGACTTGGGGCTTGATAAACTGCAGGACATAAGCAGTGACAAGCAATAGTCATTTGCATTCCCAGCCTCTCATGTTGAAGGGCTCTCTGTGATTACAGGGTGCAGTCATGGGGTGTAGGAAGAAGGAAGAGAGACACTGTTGAGAACCTTGGATGCCCTGAAATCTTTAGAGGTAGCTGGGAGCTCTTGATGAAATCCTGGATCTTTGAGGTGGATATAATCCATCTTTGAAGGCTTCATGCAGCTTAGGGGCACAAGGAGATTATCAGCACATGGGAGGTCTGAGGTAAATAAGTTCAAGTCTTGATTAACTACAAGTTAAGTATTTGCTCATGGATTATCTGTGACCTATTTGAAATACTGATCTACTTTCTGTTCTCTGTGCCTCTGGGCCTTTGCTACCGCAATGTGGTAAATGTGCTCAAAAAATATAAACTAATTTTCAGATAAGCCTGAGGGTAAAGTAAGAGGAAAAGCCATGTGCAGGCAAGATATTCACACAATATGCTCCTAAATCAAGGAGAAATGATTTTGTATCATGGCTTCTCCTGGATGATTCAAGCTTCTCCTGCTTGTATTCAGGAAGTTTCATTAATAATTGATTGCCTGTTTTTAAAGTATTGTTGCTGTTTCATTTTCTCAGTGCCATGTAAAAACACATGTATAATATGTCTCTCTCCCCCTCTCCTTCCCTCCCTTCCTCCTGTCTCTCTTTCCTCTCTCTCCCCTTCTCTTCTTCTTTCCCTCTCTTCTCTCTCTCCCCTCTCCCCTCCATTTTCCTCTCTTCTATTCCTCCTCACCTCTCCATCCTTTCACCACATTCCTCACAGGTGTACCATAGATGACCGGGTCACCAGGGTAGCCTGGCTAAACCGCAGCACAATCCTCTATGCTGGGAATGACAAGTGGTCCATAGACCCTCGAGTAATCATCTTGGTCAACACGCCTACCCAATACAGTATCATGATCCAGAATGTGGATGTGTATGATGAAGGTCCATACACCTGCTCTGTCCAGACAGACAATCACCCCAAAACCTCCCGCGTCCATCTCATAGTGCAAGGTAAGTTACAGCTAGACCTGTGGCAGATGCTCGTTACGGAAAAGGACTGCAAATGCAATATTATTCCTTGTATTTATATATAGACACAAAAGCTCACTTCCCTCTATTAAATCCACAGGTTGAGAATTTTAAATCTTCTTCTAGAAATCTTTCAATGTTTTTCCTCTGGCACTTTGTTCTCACCAGGAAGCTTTTGTTCATATACAGCTGAACTTTCTTAAGAAACTTAGCATTTGAAGCTGGTGGAAGATTCAAACATTGATAAATGCAGTATTAATCACAGAAGTCTTTATTTCTCTAAGGCTTGTTTCATTTTTAAAAAGGCTAATATTAATGTGAAACTGGCCATATGAGTCCTAGAAATGACACTGAGTTCTAGCCAGTTCAATTCTCTCTGACATTCCTGCTGTCTATACTTCCTTCCAGTTCCAGAATGGAGCCAAGAGGGGGCTTATCATAATGATATCTTCAGGTCAGAAATAAGTTCATATGGTTAAAAAGAGCAGAAAGAGTTCGTCAATATCATTGTCTATTGTTCTGCAAATCTGACTTAGTTTAGCCCAATGCCAGATACAATATATTGAGTTTAGAAGGTCTGCATATCTGTTATCTGAAGACCATGGTAAGGCAAGGCAAGCAAGCAAAATTAACTTGTTTTGAATTATCCCAATCACTACCACTGCTTAAAATATTATTATGCTATTATGGTAAGAGTCAACTTTCAAAGAGAATTCCAGCACTCAGTGACATCATTTCTGCAGCATATGGGAAGCTTAGGTTGACTTCTCTCAAAATATTCAGCTTATGTCTGAGAGACATCTACTGGGCTCTCAGAAAGGAGCTCTCTGTATGATTTAGTCATTATCAACTTCAGTTTATCCAATTCAATCTTCCGTAGATTCAACAGACTTTTTTTTTATACATTTAGATCATAAAATATATTCACCATCCTTCTAGAGCCAGGATGATTTTTGAAAAATAAGATGTAACTCATAACTTATTTCGGTTGGTTTCATAGACCACAGTAGATGGGAGTTAGCATTTCTTCATACTCAATAGCTTCTGTTTCACATGCCCACACTTTCCTTTGGACAGCATGGCCATTACCAGCTTATTATACATATCTGTGGATACAAGTTTCAATGGATATATTGGGCCAGAGATATGTCTGTTATAACTTGTCTTCCTCAAGAGCTGTTTAAGAGACACACATTACTAAAGATTGGCTTCTATCCAATCTATTGGTTCTTATCTCTACCTCACATGATTTTAGAGATTAAAAGATATTTGTCATGGAATTGGCATCTACAGATGTTGCTGTTTTCAACAAAAGTGATCCAGCCAGAGAGAGGGTAAGCGATTGGATCAAGATCACTGCTTGGAGACTCCAGATTGCTTGCTATCTGGAACTAAAGGCACAGACATGTCTCTTCTCAAAGGATAGTGGAGGCATTGGGTGAAATTAGTAATCAAAGATTGGTTGGAATGTTCTAACATCTGCTTGTCACTTGGACTTGATTCTCCACAAGAACTATGATCCTCAGCCTTGAAGGTGGTACCTCCATGGGCTTCAAAGCATAGATGTCTTCACATCCAGAGGATGTGGTGCTTAAATAGAAAATAAGAATGTCAGGTGCTGTACAGATTCAAATAGAACAAAACTATTGGCATCAACAGAATGAGACAAACATATAGGCATGTGAGTGCTGAGACAGGCCACATGGGGTTCGTAGGGAGTAGCTACAGGATGATACCTCTGCAGTGCACTTTGGGAAATTCCTGTTATGTAATATGGAAACCTATAATGTCACCTGGGTTGTTGTGATCACTCTGGGAGAATCTGAGAGGTGTATCACATGGACAGCAGCTTCTCCTATTTTAGAAATCAGTTCCTCCCATTCTATCACACCCAAGGTCCAGCCTCTGTAGCTCTGGCCTCCTGGGAGCTTTTGGAATACAAAGGCAAGCCAGCAGGTGTTTGGAGGAAGAAGGGTGTCCTGCTGCCAGAATATTCCACACAAGAGACTTTTCATTAATCAAGAGTCCAGGAGCATGAGCTGGGCAAGGGCATTCCTGCCGGTTCTGGTGAGCAGTACAGAATCCTCAGGTGACAGATGCAGCTGCCCTGTTGCTCTTCCTACTCAGTGAGAAAGAAGCCAAGATCTGCTCTCTTCCCAGCAGCTATCGGCTTTTGTCCAGTCTATAGATTAATTTTTCAGACTTGGTGTTAGTTCAGGTTAGATAAAGATAATGAAAGTTTCCTAATCCTCTTAAAGAAGATTTATCTGACTGAGTAGAAAGCTTTTGGAATACAATAAGGCATGTATAAAACTGAGGCCTAATCTTGCCCTTAATTTCAAACTGCTGATGGGTATTGATTTCGCAATAAGAAAAACTGAAAAATTTCCGAGCTGCAACTTGTCTGTTTTTTTAAAGGATTTATTTATCTGCTATTTGACAATATTAATATCTCATTACTGCTACAAATTGGGTGCCATTAGCAGAAGAGAGACCATCCCAGACAGCTTCTAACTTTGTTTTGTTCTTCTGTTGTGTCCAGGCATGAGAGATGCTCTGCCATGGTTCATGATGCCTTAGAGACTATTGTAAAGGGCACCTTTCACCATGGGGCAGATGACACTGTTTCCTTAGTCTACCTGTTTATCAGCCACCTTCATTAAAATTCACCATTGTTCCCTTCGGTATTTCTTGGCCACTGAGGAGTTCATTTTATGTCACCACATAAGCCTGTGTAATAATGTCATCTAGACTGTATAAGTAAGTGGGAAAGAAACCTAGAGCAGTGGCAAATTGTAGTTGTGGGTCAGGTGAGTCACAGGAGGAAAACTCACTTGGCAACCCCTTCAATGACATACTGCAGTGGGGACAGGGTTAGAGGTTTAGGTGTGGGGGGTGAGAAGCAGGACACAGAGGGACAAGAGAAGCTACAAGTTGCTTCCAGTAGCCAAAGCAGTGTCATGAGCATGGACCGTGGCTCTTCCTTGAGAAATGGAGAGATGCCTAAGAGATATTTTCTAAGGGCAATGGTGAGAACTGACCCTTCATGCTTTGAATGAGGAAGAAATAAATGAGAATAGTTATAGAATATAGAATAGAATATAGTTACGAATTTGGGGAAATGATTGTGGACTTGGTAGTAACCGCAGAGATAAAATTCCATGACTGTCTGAAAGAACAGCATCATACAGATGTGACAACATGAAGGTGCAGCTGTAACTTAACACCAGTGATTGAGAGTATGTCATGTCAGGGTTTACTAGCTTGATAGAGGCTGAGCTTCTAAAGCTAACTCTTCCTAGAGAGCAAGAATCATGACTTATTTATCTGGAGCCACACATTAGCCTGCTGAGGCATTGCAGACACTCAGGGATGTTTATCTGTGAGGGGATCCAGCAAATGTACCAACATCTGAAGGAGGCATCCTGAAACCTATCTAAGCAGACATGGGTGTTGAGGTGAGCCACCCATTGTTCACTGAGTTCAAGTGGATAGTCATAGAGAAAGTTCTCAGGAGGGGAGAAGACTAGAACATGCTAAGAGATGTACCATATTAGGGATGCCTCAGATTCCACACATTTTATTCAGTTCTGTTCAAAGATGCTCATAATCTCTTCTGTATTTGAGCCTTGCAACAAACTCTGGAAAGCTGCAGTACATTGATTGTTATGTCAATTTGCAAATTAAGAAACTGTAGCTCAGAAAGGTAGGAAACTGCCATGATTCCCAAGAGCCAAAAAGTAGAGACTGAACTTGAACTAATACCACATTGATACAGGGAAATTTGGGGTCATCTCTTGGGGTTCTAAGTCTCATTTAAGAAGAAATCAGGCATGGACTCAAATGGAAGCTAATGACAATTATTATTAAAATGTAAAGGAGATAAACCCCCAGAGCAGGAGGGCTTCATACCTCAGCAACTATCCTGAGGAGAAAAAGGAAAAGCCATGCCACTGAAATTGACATGGAGGTCAGACACATGGTGGACTGGCAACAAAGTGGAGGGTGTCAAGACTTTAGGGAAAGAACAAAAGAGCCTAAAATGTTGGCTCACATTGTTAAGGAAAGCATATCTAGAAAAGAGATAGAAAAAAAGTAAAGGAAAACTGGGTTGACTTAGGAAGCCACATGGCTGTGGGCTGTAACTTACTGTAATAGGAGTGGATTCTAGGAAGAAAAATACAATATCTCATTAAAGGGCTAACTATTCTTCTTATCCTTTTAATAAGGCTGACAGGTGAGTTTGCCCTTGGGATTGACCCTTGGGCTAGTGATTGATACAGCTCACCTGTAATGTTGAGAGTCTACCCAGAGATTCTATTCTCTAGATCAGAGGTTGTCCCTCCATGGGCCTTTGCTGTTACAGTAATAGTTTGACTGCAAGATCAGCATCTCAGCTTATTCCAGTGCCTCTCTCCTGCCAATCATGCTTGCTTACTTCTCTGCTCTGGGGTCATAAAAAAATGTCTCTGATTTTTTCTTGTATATTATTTTGTTTTGTTTCCTTCTTGCTGCCAATATTGAATTGTCCCACCAGGAATTAAGGACAAAGCCCCCCAAAAGAAAATAAGCAGAGAGAGGGGGACTCCAAAGCTGCCATAAATGGTACAAAGAAGCTGGGAGACAGGCAGAAAGAAGATAATTAATTTTCTAGTAGCTCATCCCTCCAGGGGTACACATTTTAAATGTTACCATTTTATCCTATGTAAGTACTGAAAACCCCTTTTCCTTTGGGGATCCAAGATCTAATTGTCATCCTAATCTTCATTAACTCTCCATGTTCTGGAACCTCACCAGATCTATGAATACTGGTGGTCTGGGGTGTTGCTATCTGTTAGAAATAGATACAGAAGGGAAGTTGTGTCTATTTTTTCTTGAGGAGTGTTAATATTCTTAGCCTATTCTCTGGGCTGGCTTAGGAATCTGTGGCCTGTTAGGTATTTCTCTTCATGGACTGAATGTTTTTTTGCAAACCCTCGATT